GCATGCTCCGCCTGAGCACCGCGGCCCGCCCACACAGCCGTCCGCCAATCAGAACGGGGAGGTTGGGAGCGCTCGCGCGGGAGAACCTGTCCATCAACGCCTTCCCCTTAAAAAAAAAAACACCAAACCGCCGACGCGCCCCCTTCGGCCCAGATGCGCCACGATCGCGGTGACGCTCGAGCCGAGCCACACTGAGCAAGCGCGAGAGGGGAGGAGGGCGGGACCGGGACCGGGGAGAGAGGGGCGGGGCGTGGTACTCTGGCAGGAGGCCCTGCCTTGCGTGTGCGCGCTCAAGCGTCATCCAACAGCCGGCATTGATTGGCTGATGACCCCCTAGGGAGGCGGGACTTTCCTATGTCTTTAACCACCTTTCCTTCTACCTGCTCAGGTGTTCACTGTTAAAAGCTTGCTTGGGTGCCTCCCCTTCCTTTTGTTGAATTGTACCTACGTCAAATCTTAGGGCATTAGGGTGTTATTAAAAGTTCTTGGATGTGTTTAATTACTGTATTTGATGACAACTCAAGTATTATTTTGTAACTTAAAATAATTTTAAATAACCACTTTTTAAACAAAGCATGTTATTCAAAACACTATCTTAACAAAAACTATTAATAAACCATTTTACTGTTACAAATTCAAATATTATTAACAAATAATTTTGAACAAATTATTTATTGAAACTGGTTCCCAGCCTTTTTTTTTTGAGTCATGACCCCTTTTATTATAGCTCAGTAACCAATAACCCCCCACCCTATTTGCATAAAATGGCATTTTGAAATGGATAAAGCCATCCTTTTTAAGAAAGCAGAGGCTTCTTTCTCCCCCAGAGGGCCTGTTTCTCATACATACAAATACTGTACACACTTTAATATCTAACCCAGAAAGGTAAATGAATAAATTATTTCACAAGGGATATAATACATATAAGGTGACTCACAATCCTGCAGAAAACACTCTGATGCCCTTGGGGAGGGTAATGACCACAAGGTTGGGAAATACTGTATTAAGATTTTAAAAATGTGCAGTCCTTGCGCTTGGGTTGAAGGCAAGTGTGTGTGATACCTTTGTTTGCTGCTATGATATGTGTCAAATGGGAGCGGCACAGAACTTGATGGTCCTGATGCGTAGCTTGTATTGTGGACAAGAAGCTAGGTCAGAAAAATTAAAATTAAAATGGTTTCCTATAGGCAAAGGTGTCAGACAAGGGTGCATTTAATCCCCTTATCTGCTCAATCTGTACATAGAACATAGAACATATATGGAAAGCCAGTCATAATTCCGATGAGTGACGAGTAAAAATTAGTGGAAGAAACATCAACAATGTTATGATGAGAATTTTAAAAATGAAGTTGTCTACTTTGGTTCAGTCATCAGTCCAAATAGAAACTGCAGTGAAGAAATCAGAAGACTGAGACTTGGAAGGCAATTAAGGAACCAGAAAAGATAATCAAGTGTAAAGATGTCTCACTGGAGCCAAAAAAAACAAGGTCATCCATACTATGGTATTTCTGATCACCATGTATGACTGTGAAAACTGGGCAGCTAAGAAAGTTGCAAGGAAAAAAATTTGTACCTGTTTGAAATGTGTTGCTGGAGGAGAGCTTTGAAGATACCTTGGACTTCCAGAAAGACAAACAAAGGGGATCCTAGAGCAAATCAAGCCTAAACCATCTCTGGAGGCAACCATTTTTGAAATTGAGGCCATCCTGCTTTGGGCACTTCCTGAGAAGGGAGGATTCTCTGGAAAATACAATAAGGTTGGGAAAGGTGGAGCACAGCTGGAAAAGAGGAAGACCCAATATGAGATGGACCAACTCCGTAAAAGGAAGCCAGGGGCCTGGGTTTGTAGGAACTGAGCAGGGCTATTGAGGACTAGACATTTTGGAGATGGGTCATTCATAGGGGTCACCCTGAGAATGATCACTTGATGGCACATAACAACATGTCATACTTTATCTTCATTCCTTTCTGCTGCCCCCTGCCTTTCCCAGCATGATTGCCTAAGGTAAAGGTAAAGGTTCCCCTTGACATTTAGTCCAGTCGTGTCCGACTCTAGGGCTCTGTGCTCATCCCCGTCTCCAAGCCACAGAGCCAGCATTTTGCCCGTAGACAGTTTCCATGATCACGTGGCCAGCGCTACTAGACACGGACCGCCATTACCTTCCCACCATGGTGGTATCTATTTATCGACTCACATTTTTTACATGCTTTCGAACAGCTAGGTTGGCAGGAGCTGGGACAAGCAACGGGAGCTCACTCCATCGGGCGGATTAGATCTTCTGACTGCTGGTCTTCTGACCCTGCAGCACAGAGGCTTCTGAGGTTTAACCCACAGCACCACCACGTCCCTTGATTGTCTATTGTCTATTCATAGGCAATACAGTTGAAAACATCTACAACCAAGGTAGGAAACAACTGAGAGATGATAGCAATGTTAGAGTAATATATATTTATTTAAGATTTTTTACCTTGCCTTTCTTCTTACAAAAGACCCAAGGCTCTTACAACATTAAAAAATGGTATTTAAAGTTAACAAAATTTAGTATACAAATACTAACAAGGATCCAACAAATACCATGCTAAAAATTGTTTTTAGCCGTTTAGTTGTGTCTGACTCTTTGTGAACCCCATGGACCAGAGCATGCCAGGCTCCCCTGTCTTCCACTAAACATCAGCAGTGCCTAAACACATTCAAAGCAGTACAGTACAACCATTTATTTAATCATCCCACTCAGAAGGCCAATCACTCAATAAAAGCTTGCCTGAAGAGAACGGTCATTGCCTGCTTCCGGAAGGGCAACAAAGATGGAGCTAGTCTGGCTTCCAGTGGCAGGGAGTTCTAGAGTCTGGAGTAGCCACAGAGAAGGCCCTCTCCTGTCTCCCCACCAAACATATCAGAGAAGGTGGCAGAACCAAGAGAAAGGCCTCCCCTGATGATCTTAACACCTGAGCAGGCTCATAAAGAGAGACGTAGTCCTTGAGATAGGTTGGGCCCAAGCTGTTCAACGCTTTTATAGGTTACAACCAACACTTTTAATTCTGCTCAGAAATGGTAGCCACTGGAGCTGCAGCCACTACTGAGATGGGGGTGAGTATTCTCTTTGTCTTCCTTTGTAAAGCGCTCTGTTTGCAGGTGGGAATGCAGTTGGTGTGGATTTAATTAATGCCTTGCATGGAATCCATCTGACATATCATTTTGGTTAGAATGATGCTCCCAACACCCTCAAGCAGGAAAAGCTGGCACTCTGACCAATGGCACCTACCCTTTAAAAGCAGTGCTCAGACCAGGTTGGGGGGGATTCAGAATTGTAGAAACAGTATAAAACTATGCAGGCAGATTTCCGCTGCAGTGATTGTTCGCAACAGTACAGCTTAGAACTTAATTATACAGCAATGGAACCCATTATCTCGAGAGGTGTTGAGTGCTCCAACATTGGAGGCATTCAAAAGAAAATTGGACCCTCTGTCAGATATGCTTTTTTGGGATTCCTGCCTTGAACAGGGGGGTGGACTTGATGGCCTCACAGGACCCTTTCGAACTTCATGATGCTATGACTCCACTTTTTTTCTGGATTACAACTCCTAGAATCCATACCAGCCAACATATCCAGTATCAAAATCAGAGATACTGGAGTGCATAGGTTGCCAGCTGATCGGGTGTGGGGAGATTACTTTCAAATGCTCTTTTGCCTTTATCTTGCCTTTATATTCTGATGACCTTTTCACAGCGTGGAGATACTGTTAAAGTCTACACGTCAAACCATTGTTAAAAGTACTGCTGCAGTGACTGGTAGACCTCAAATTATAAAGATTGACAAGCATACAGAATGGATTGAAGGTAGGGACCTGTAAATGGACAATTTGGTTTAAAAGGATGACCCTGGCTTTCTTCTTGAAAAGCTTTCTGTCTCTTTCCTTCAGAGCCATTTTCCAAGATGACAACAGGAAATACTGAAATCCTTTGTGGTTCAGGCTTTGAAGTGAGTTACTAAAAATGCTTTCATCATGGGGATGGAATAAGGATAATGAGGAAACCTCAGTGGGCCGGAAAGAGTGGAAAACGACAGGAGCGCCACTTGGTGAGAAATGCAGAGGACGTGAGTAGCTGGTGGAGCTGCTATTTTAGCAAGCGTGGAGCCTGCGCAGAGAGAGGGGGGGGGTCATGATTTCCTATCTCTGTGGCAGTGTTTTTGAGCTCTAGGGTAGATGCCCTCCACCAACCAGCAACGTCCTTGGCAATCCAGTGACTCTACTAATAGGTAGAGTTTTCGCACGTAGGAAACCTTATTGAAAACGGAATCAACAAGGTTTCCTACGTGCGAAAACTCTCTACCGATTAATAGAGTCACTGGATTGCCAAGCACGTTGCTGGTTGGTGGAGGACATCTAGTCTAGAGTTCAAAAACACTACATTTTATTATTTGAAGCACAATCCCCCAGAATACCCCACCTAGTCAGGAATGGGGGATTATGGGAATAACAGACCAAAAAAAAAAAAGGTACACTTTGATCAGCCAAAATACCTTGCAGGGTGTTTCCTGCTCAAGCTTCAAACCGCCCCCATCCCCTTTCATGGCAATTAGTCAGCATTTTGTGT